ATTAGGTAACGGAGAGTTTATAAATACCCCACGTAGGCGTGTTAGTGCCTGTGAAGTGGTATACGGTACTCTGAGTACTCTGAGTACTCTGAGGGAACCTTTACATAATACTTCATCTGTCTCACCCTTCAACGGAGAACACGGAGTGAAGAGTCTGGAGAAGGTCTCCGACTAACGGGATGAGTTAGCGTCTCTTTGAGTCGCAGTACTTTTCACACCGGCTGAAGTACTGGAGCAGACACTGGAACCGATTAAAGTGCGTCTATTAACAGGAAGTGTGTGTGTGTGTGTGTGTGTGTGTGTTAAACAATTAAAACTTCCAAAGAACAGAGATAATAAAGAAATATTTACCCTCAGTCACAGGTTCAGTTCAAAAACAGTACTAGAATGAGGTACTTCATAAAACTGGGTTCTTGTTCACCAGCTTCCTGTCCAGTAACAGCTCGTAACACAGTTACGTCGTTTACCTGCGTCGTTTTTATCCACTTATTCAAACGTCAGCTAACGGCAGCTTCAGGGCTAACGCGCAGTTCTGCTAACGCTACGCCCTCCTGTTAGCATGGTCTCCTGTTGTTAGCATGGTCTCCTGTTGTTAGCATGGTCTCCTGTTGTTAGCATGGTCAAATGGAGGAGGAGTTTTAACTGTCAGGTTAGGTCTGGTGTTGACCTGGCACTAGTACTACCCTGGTACTTGTCGTTCTCAGATCTGTGATTAGTGTCGACCATGTACTGTAGTACTTACAGTAATTTATATGTTTTTCATGGAACGAAGGTTTGTTGTTTTTACGGCGTGGGTTGTTGCTTTGACAGAGACAGAGACCATGTGACGGTCCAAGGTGTGACCATGTGACGGTCCAAGGTGTGACCATGGTACCAACTGACCGATGCTGAACCAAAGGAGTTTACCAGGACATTCAAAAGCATGAAGGCAGAAGTACTGAGTACTCAGTACTGAGTACTCAGTACTGAGTACTGGGTTGATGGTCCATGTGTGCAGGACTGTGTGTACTGCAGTAACACACCGTCAGACACTGGTGGCAGTGTAACAGAGAAAAGAGAAACAAATGTCACAGGGTTAAATGTCCGACCTCACACCGTGTCACCGTCATTTAGCCTGTCATTATACAGGAAGTGAAGGGAGAACAGGAGGAGGACGGCTGTGTCCGAAAAAGAACAGCAGGAAGAGGAGAGCTGAATGTCAACAGGACAAAGACCAGATTTACATTTAAACACCGCCTGTAGTCTGTCCCCGCCTGTAGTCTGTCACCGTCTGTAGTCTGTCACCGCCTGTAGTCTGTCACCGCCTGTAGTCTGTCACCGCCTGTAGTCTGTCACCGTCTGTAGTCTGTCACCGTCTGTAGTCTGTCACCGTCTGTACGCCTGTAGTGTCTGTGTCTGTACAACAGTACAACTAGGAAGGCAAGAAAGACCAGAGAGGACATTACACCTGCTCTAACTTCCTGGTAAGACCAGGTGTAGCGCCCTCTGCCTGACACAATGACTGTTAACAACGTAATTACATTACTGTCTGGCACACGGCCCAGGTCGGTGCCCCAATCCACCACCCGGCCCAGGGCTGTGACCCAATCCAACACACGGCCCAGGTCTGTGACCCAATCCAATCCAAGCAGCTGAGGCAGAGTCAGGACGAACAACAGAGGAGAGAATCAACAGGGGGCAGTAAGAGGGGGCAGTAACAGGGAGCAGTAAGAGGGGGCAGTAACAGGGGGCAGTAACAGGGGGCAGTAAGAGGGGGC